CTGGACGATTTGTGGTGTGCTCAAATAGAAAGTCAAGCTTTAATTGTAAAATTTAGACAGCAGAGAAAGTCTGCACTATATATTTGTAATTTTGTGTACAAGGGTGCATTTAGGCAGTTCAAAGATCAGAAAAACCCCTGCAGTCCATTTACCACTGAGCTGAGGAGTCACCTAACTCTGCAGAATATGGAATTTGTATATACATCTTTAAAAAAGATTTGTCTCATGAATTCACCAATGAAGAAAACCTCCTGTTTGCAAAAGAGTTGAGTCAGTTAAATACAACGTTTTATTAGCAATAGTGTCAAATGCAACTCATGGCAAGTCTGTAGTTTGCAAAACATTAGATGATTGGAAAGTGCCAACAAGCTTAATGTACATTCAAGTACATTGCTTCAATTTGAAGTGTACTTTCTCTGGATGCATTTGGAGCATCTGGATGTATCATTGCTAATGCCAACCCTGCGAACTTCCCACTTCAACCTGCCAAATACTCTACTTCTCCTAGGAATAAAGGTGCCCAAAATTTCTCCAAAGTGACAAACAGCAAGGCCAAGACACCTTTCATTTACAGATATAAGGAAATAAACAAAAATCAACATCTTATACATGAGCGTCCAAACCACCGCGTAGGCATCTAAACAAAAAGCCCAAGTTTCAAAGGCAGATATTGTAGAAGTACCACACGCTTTTCCATTTGCATGATTTTTCTTTCTAGACTAATCTGTGTATTGTCAGGCCCAAACATTCATACCAGAGTATCCTCTACAGAGAATGGACACCTTTTTCATGCATTTGCAGTTAGTTTGTGTCTGGTTGCAATCAAGCCAGCATTTAGTCAGCTGTCCCTCAGCCCAAGGAGAGACAAATTGCAACAGCACATGCTCCTGGGACAAAGCTGGACACCAGGATGATGTTTACCAACGTAAACGTCATGCAGACTATCTGTGTCATCCTGACCCCACAGTGTTTGGTTCTTTCATCTCCTGAAGCGCTTTGATCCAGTGATGGACTGTGATGAAATCTGCATGGCCTCTTTGGGTAGGAAACCATTCTGACCGATGCAGGCATGGCTGGACCGACAACCTAAAGGCCTTAACCTTGTCTCCATCAGGCAAAAAAAAGTGAAAATATGCTGGTATCTATTGTTCACTTCTTAGCATAATCACCAGTGCTATTATTGTTAAATGAAAGAGAGCCCCCCTCCCCTAAAAGCAAAATCATCTATTTAGACACAGCAACGTTCTGCCTCCTTGTGTCATGCTGCTCCATGGTTGCCACTCCATTCGTCTCACAAAAATGTCCACGAAGAGTTTTTTTCCTTCTCAGGATTCTATTTCTTCCATGACTTCCATCACAATTGTTCGAGGGCCAGTCAGAATGAGGTTGCTCACTGTCCTGTAATCCACATGGAGAACATTGAGGCCATTGACAGATACAACAAATTGGCAAACCTGGGGAGAAAAGCGAGCAGCAAAAGAAGTTACACATTGGACTTTTTTTGTAAGGTTATTTACACATATGTACTATTAACTCCTGGGCATCCAAAACCTCCAGCACTCTTTATACTTTCTCATTCAGCACTCTTAAGAAAAACACGTTTCATAGAATTAATCTGACAAGTTATTTTTCCATGAATTTTTTGAAATATCACTGCATTTTTCAAACCTGTGGAATTTTGAAGTCCTACATCAATCATTTTTCTTATAACAAAGGCATTTTCTGATTATCAGTGGTGCTTTGTGAACAATATGGGAGAAGACAGCTCTGGACATTGCAAAGGGTCTGTTATCCTTAGTTTGTCTTAAACACTTCCATAGAAACCATTTTAGACAGCTTTTGGTAGTCACGGTAAAAATATGCATCATGTTTCCAGGTCTGGATGATGACTTCACTAGATTCAGTGCCAAAACCTTCACCAGTACAACATGAAAACGAAAGATCCAAATTCTAGGAAATAGTATCATGGAAGAAGAAGTCAGTACTAGGATGGACTATCATGCCATTTTCAGGAGGTATTCCTGCACCTTATACTCTTTATGAGAAGTTTTTGCTTTTCTTCAGCAAGTACAGCACATTAATTAATTTTAAATATGCTAATATTTTGGTTTTTAAAGCCCTAAGGAATTCAAACATTGAAAGTCTTGCATCATTAGAGGCCATTTTCTGTCCAAAAAGTCTTGATTGAAATATTATGACCAACAACACTGTGTGTCTTGAAAGAGTTAATCAGAGAAAAAGTTGTACCGGCATTGTAAAAAACTGAGAAGGAAAAGAAAGATAACAATACTTATTTCTGAAAAACATTAAGCCTTCTCTGTATCTAATCATAATATTACAGTGTTTGGTAAAAAGGCCAAAAATGCGTAGTGTCTAGATCTGTGGTTTTAATGATAAAAATATGGAACCTAAGGCAACAATAATATCATCCTGATGTTTCAATGAAAACAATACATTCACTAGAAGGTCACCTTACTCCTAAGTCATCTTGAGTCTAAGAAAGAAGCTATGAAGTACCACTAGAAACTTTATATTTTTACCTTCCCTATTTAGGCAGAAACATAACACATGAATGTATGCAGGAGAGGTGGGAAGCAGCTCTGGTGTTTTCCAGTGCTAGCTCTAAAACAGATATTCTCAGAAGCTAAGTCATTTAACTTTTGTACATCAACTACCTTCCCTCTCAAGTGAAATGTGTGGTGAAACTCAATTGGTACTTGTGCAAAATGTACAGAATGTAGCTATCGATGCTCCATTTAAGGAAAATTATAGAGGTAGCAAAGCCATTCCAAAAATGTAACATTTCATCAAAAATGCCACTGATGATTTTAATCTCTGCTTCTTGGAGGCTCTGCACAGGACGAGCAGCAGCAGCAGTCCTCGAAGGGAGAGCGAACTCTCTCTTGCACCTTACCCCTTACCCTCAGAACTCCTCTGCAGAGATGAAGATCTTGGTAGTCAGCCTAACTGGTAATCCAAATGATCATCAAAGCATGGCAAGCAGCAATACCACTTAGCCAGCCTCCATGGCAGTATGGATATATCTTTCCAATACATTCATATGCAATATTTCAGCTGCAAGTAACACTGGGAAAATGATTCATTTTTTGAATGCAGAAAAAGTCTCCTGAATTTTAAGGATTTTTATTGAAAAGGTAACCGATTATCCCCTGTAGAGTGTCTCAATTAGTATTTAAGAGGCACATTTATTTAGTTTAATAATGCAAATTTTCACAGTACCTCTAGGTCTCAACTTCCAGTGGTATTTCCTAATGCTTTCTATGGCTTTCCAGGATTGTATCAAGTTTTACTGAATTATAGCTCTGGCTCCAGAATAATATTTGGCTTGATTTAAAACAGACCTGCAGAAATAACATTGTTTCTTCTGGCTTAATGCAGTTTTGGGAAGTTGAATGGCTGATGTTTGTTTTACTGCTGCATATTCTCAGACTTCTCGAGTTACTGGAATATTAGTGCACAGGACTCGTGTTTGGCCAGGGACAGTCATGCAGTAGTGAGTAACAGTCTGGATGGCAAAGAGTGAATTTCTTACGCAAAAGACAAGAGTTGACACATCTGCATTGTCAATGTGTTTGCTTTAATGTATGCCCTTGGCAGGATTACTAGTCAGCAATGCGTATGGGCTGAGAACATCCTTTGTGCCGTCCTTTGCACTGGATCCAAATGGTTTATTAGTTTTGCCATTTCCAGTAGATAGGATTAGATGCAGAAAGTCCACCCAAGCCAGATGAGAAAATGCAGACAGCAGGAAAATGCACAGAAGAGCGTACTTCTGTCCTAAAATTGCATGAAGACTCATGAGGAACACGAGATGACAATAAAGTACCAGTCACCCTGGGGACAGAAAGAGCCCTCCATGGCCATTGCTTGGCCACTGTCCCCAGGGGATGAGCGTCTGTAAATTCCAGATCCATCTCCCCCAGGTATAAAGAAATGGGGAGCCATTTGCTGCATCCTGCAGTCCCGAGGAGGGGAGACGATAGGTTTGCACAGTCCTCAACCCCTTGGTATTGAGTGCCCTCAAATCACCCAGTTTCATTCTTCCAACCCTGTTTTTCCATTCACTGCTGCATCCAGCAAGGGGAAACGAAATGCAGCACTGCTTCATGCATTTTGGCCATCATAAGTCCTGCCCCCAAAAAGTGCACATCTTGCATTGCTCTCTTGGTGGAGATACTAAACAAGCGAGAGCAAGTGAGTACCCACAAACCAGCCCTGGCTGAGTATATCAACCCACATATTATTATCTCAGGAATTTTCTTAAGGAGACTGGTTTACAAAATCATGATGATTTAATGTTACATTTATAAAAACACATTTCAAGAAAGCTGTAAGTGCTCAGCTCACAGCTACAGCTGTTAAGGGCTTTGTAACTATAAACATGTAAAATTTCTCTGTTGGTTTCCACACATCGGTAACTATAATAGATAATAAACTGAAGTTAAAAGAGCCTCAAAGAGCCTTTTATTGCTCATTTCCTCATAGCTCTCCAAGGAGCTTGACAGGAGATAAGTATTCATTTTTATCCCTCAGACTTCAAGGAATGACAAAGCCCAGAATAAATTCCGACCATTTTGTTGGTCAGGATGTGGTGATCTAAAAACCACAGAAACAATAACAGTTAAATAAAGTAACATTGAAATAAAAAGACTCCCTTGATTAATTTAAAGTATTTAAATGTTACAGTAACAAACATTTACAGCTATTTCAATTTCCCACCTTGGCATACAGCAGGAAGGAGGGATAGCAGAAAAGGTACCTCTGTCTTTCCATGGGTTTTCACTGGCACATACAGAAGGTTTAACCAAATCCACATGTTCCCAGGAAAACTTCAACTTTGGGCTTACACTGGAACCAAATCCAGGTGTTCCCAGGAAAACTTCAACTTTGGGCTTACGCTGGAACCAAATCCAGGTGTTCCCAGGAAAACTTCAACTTTGGGCTTTCATTTGAACAGAAAGCATCTGGGCACCTATCACTTAAAGCAGTTAGCAAAGATTTGTCATGCCATTTATCATCAAACTGAAGATGGTGAGGAAAGGAATTATAATTAGTTACCATAATGTTTAATGGCCAAAATCAGGGCACAAGACTGTGCTGTACCTGACGCGGTACAACCCTTCCTCCCCCTCACTGGGTGTTGTTCTTCCCTCCAAGGCAAGCTGCAGCTGCCTGCCCCTCCTTGGGCTTGCCAAGTTGCCCTGAGATGTACATCTACACCCCTCAATTTTCCTGCAGGAGAATTGCCTGCTGGTCAAACCCAAGTCCTGCTCCCTTGCAGGGGGCTGCCTGCACTGGGGCTGGATGGCTGAGCCAGTGTTGATCAGCAGCTGCAGCGAGAATCCTGCGGAATGCTCCCGTGGGATATCAGAGACGGCTGCAAGCATGGGTGTGGAATTGCACAACTACCTGAAAGCCAATTATTGAATCAGCTATTGTGTATCTGTCACTAATTCTTGCGTAGTGTTCTGCTTCAGGGTGACCTTAATATTTATGAATGCTACAGGACCATTATTCGTGGATAGGCAGTTAGATATGTATTCAAATAGTGTCTCAGATATTCAGACACCATTTGCTGTAGGCTTTAGTCACCTCTCCTTGTCAAGCCAGGACTTGCTTGTCAGACTCTTGTCAATTAAATATGCAAAAAAACTCCCAACCCTTTAAAAAATTCCTCTTTTTCTAGGTACGCTTTTTAGAAGGCTGTTGTGAAAGATCATGAAGAGCTGGAAATTCTCACCACAGAATATGGCTGAAGCGATGACTGCAAAGTTCTTTGGGATAGCCCTAAAAAAGCAGTTAAATTTACAGATTCAGTGAGTACAACTGTTCATCACTGGTCACCAAGCAAGTAACAGCTATGCAGAGTCAACAGATACTGTATTTTGAAATAGTAGAAAAAGACCATGACTACATAGTCACTGAGATGAAGAGGAACACACTGCTCATGCCAGCATACAGGAGGCAGTGTAGCTGGGGGTGACTGGGGAGTGCCCTTCCCCATGGCAGCAAACATTCATGCCCCACTGCAGTGGCCATGGGTTAAGGCTCTAATTCTCAATGGATTTACACTTCACTGGCAGGATCAGTGTCCAGAATCCACTCTGGGGTTTTTCTGACTTCTCTTATGAGAGTATAAACATTATTACAAATACATATCAAATACGTACCAAAGAAATCGATGTCACCAAGTACAAGGGAGGCTTGAAATTCTTGAACACAAAGCTAGATTATGCACTGACATGTTAAAGATAGTGCCAAAAATACTGGTTTTCAGCAGTACTGATATTTTACCCAATTATCTGGGTAGTAATGGGACCATTCATGGTCTAAGACTGCAAAGCACGAAGTCTCTGCCATCACGCTTGAGTTTTCTTCTCCAGCATCACCAGGGTCAGCCAAGTGGCAAGGTTTTCATGGGCTGCTTGACACT